AGACTACTCAATCAGAATCAATCCTGCTAATGAGCACGAGAATTTAAAGCGGCAGAGGAACGTGCGCTTAGAATAAACAGACGATATCGCTAATATAGTTATCGTTCTTGGTGTGAACGGGCCCTAATTTTAATACTACCGATATTCATACTATATAGAACATACTTTTTAATAGTCACAAAGCAAGTTAAAAATTCAAATGTAGTACCTACTCAGGATGCAATTTTAGATTCCTCGCCTGTCTTTGGACTTGTTCCGTCATATTGTGTGTTGCATGTTCTTCCATTCATAGTAATATGCAGTGTTGGGGGTAACGCATTACAAGTAACGCAGTAACGTTTTACAGATTACTTTTTTTCAAGTAACTAGTAAAGTAACGCATTACTTTTTAATTTACAAGAGAATATCTGAGTTACTTTTTCAAATAAGTAACGCAAGTTACTTTTTTTCCCCAATGTATTGATTGACAGCTCTCCTGTCTCCATGTTGAGAGAAATCAGATGTTACTGTAGTTCTAAAATAAATATGATTATGCATTAATTCAGCTCACGCACAAAAAAATAATAATGCAACTCAGAATATGACACAAACCTGCAATAATTAAATGTTAAACAACACAAATATCCTTTATGTATTTAATCCCATTCTATTAACCAATGTCTTTGCTTCTGACCTTCGATGATCCAGTTCAACCGTACTAATAAGCAAAAATTACTCTAGACACACATTTGTGTGTCTTTTTTTATTGCTGAAGTGTGTTGAAATTTCTTCTTCTGCATTCTACTGTACGGACATAAATTTACTTTCCCTTCAGCCTGTGGCTTATTCATTTCACTTTCGGTGTGAAAAGGCGTTTATATTTGCCAAATATATTACTTTTTTATTTTAAAAACAAACAAGCAAGCCCTGTCCAGAATTAAAAAGTAACGCAAAAGTAATGCAACACATTACTTTCCATAAAAAAAGTAACCAAGTAACGCAATTGGTTAATTTTTAATGGAGTAACGCAATATTGTAATGCATTACTTTTAAAAGTAACTTTCCCCAACACTGGTAATATGAGTGCACACATCTTGCTATATAAAAAGTTTTTGGTCGAACTCATGACCTTGTGCATGCGCGTGGTGAGGCAGCACTTTTTAAACGGGAGCGGACACGGCAGATTTTCAAAAGATTGCGCGTTTCAAAACCTGATATAGCCTATGTACAATCAGAGCCGATCCTCCCTATACTCAAAATACGCAAGCTTCGTAGGGCCCCGAAACACCAGGGGCCCCCCTTGCTCTCAAAAATGATTTAATTTTAGTTTAGTTTTTGAATTTGGCCAGCGGTTATGAAAACATGAATGATAATTTCTTTTAATGCGGTGCGCTGCCGCCCTTTCTACATAAAAATCAGTCAAATCATATAATAATGTGAATGTCCAACAGTCTTGCTCGAGACTGAGTTGAAAGCGTACCAAGCCACGGAAGAGCACCTCAATTTTTTGCAAGTTTTTGTCCCCTGAAGTCTTTGATTGGCACTGTGTACAATGAAATAGAACATAATACAGGGGTCTTAAGATGCGTTGTTTTTCAGCATCTTAAAACCACTAGATGCTGAGGTGCAAAAACACCAAGACATCCGTTTAGCGCATGTGTCTGGATCAAAGACAATCAGGCACTTTAACCACGGAGACGTTTGTCAAGCTGACGCACTGTGACCGTGTTAAAACGCAGTCGTAGAGTTTTCATGCGGTGACACTGGGCAGGTTTCCAGATTGTTGCGTTGTGTGCAGAAGTGCCCATGTGCTCGGATCAAAGATGAGTTGTAATAACGCACTCAGCTGTGCCGCGCCGCAGAACTGACCCAACCTTCCTCACTTTCTCACTGTTTAAAATAAGACTCGGTTGTGATAATATACGCTTTCACTCGCCAGGCCTAAATTACAGGTCCTGCTTGCCATGCGAGGTTCCTCCAGGCTTAGAAACGCCACTGGGAGAGAGTCATGCCCTGGCGTATGGAGATGCTGAGACAAACAGAGAGTCGTGGAAATGAGCTGATGAGAAGCGAACAGCTTGAGAAAGAGTTGAACATGGTGTGAAATCGAACAAATAGCTTGAATGAATACATCAAACCGATAAAACTAAACATACGAGAACACCTGGCCAAATTAATCAAATTTTTAAGATGAAACACTTTCAGAAGTTCAGGAACTAATTAAATTAAAGTTTAATTAGGTCACTTGTATTAGTAGCAAGTTAAAGTAAAAAAAAAAAAAAACATTCTCAAGTTGTTCCACACCTGCATGACTTTATTTCTTCTTATCAAAAAAACAATACCAAAACAATATATATATATATATATATATATATATAGCATATAGCAGTGTGGAATAAATTAGATTTTTAATATGTTAAAGTAGAAAAACATTATTTTAAATTGTAATATCTCACACTATTTCTGTTTTTACTGGATTTTTGATATAAGAGTGTATGTATACTGTATATATATATAAGAAGACAAACAGACAAACATTGACAATCTTACCAGGTTTGATGTCAATGATGTTGAACAGCATTAGCTCTTGTGAATCATGTGTTTGTGTGTGTGTGAACTATTCCTTTAAGGGGGCGCTCACAACAGACTTGCTGTATATTTCAATATTGACTAATCTAATTAGCCTATTGTTTTAAAATCCTGAACCATTTTAAACTGGAAACAGCATTCATGGCTCAAGAGACTGCAAAAACATTGAGATGTAATGGAACGGCCAAAGATATCAATTTAAAACTAGCACAGATGGAACATGACAATGTGTGAGCGGCCCTCTAATGTTGGCCTGCCAGAAACCTTGAGGGATTTGTGCTTTGTGAGTGCAAAAAAAGATGCAAAGATGTAAACAAAAGTGCTTTTGTTGTTTTATGCTTTTTCTACTTTGCTCTTAACACAGTATCCGCTTTCTACATTTTCAGCCACCTGTTACTCCACTACATACACAGACTCGCACACACCGTCTGGCCTAGACTGGCACATTCTCACATTACCACCAAGTTAAACAACTCCAAACATCCTTCAGTTCAAATAATCATTCTCTCTAGACAGTTTAAACAACCTCTGTTTGCTGACACGAACACACCTGCCCTAAGAAAACAACATGAGAGTTCATCAAGTGAAAGTGAGATCGCTCTACATGACCCTTACAGGCATCATGTACACAAACCATCATCGTTTCATGTACTCAGAGCTCTTTTAAAAGTTTAACTTCAGCATTAGTGTGTTTCTAAATCGACCCTTGAATTACCTCCCTAGGCAACGCCCAGGGCCCCGCTGGCATCGTCATGGCAACAGACTATGTATTGGTTATAGGAGCGCCCTGGTTTGGCCGCTATAATAGGGTGGAAGGCCAGGACTGCCAACCTCAGTAGTACACACACACACACACACACACATGCTGGAGAGCTAGTGACATAATTGCACATGAAAGGTTTTTAAAAACATCTGGTGCAGCAAGTGCAGTTTAATGAGTGTTGGCTGTGGATCTGAAGCATTAATTAGTGGGCTGATATCCACACACACAGCATAGCTCTACTTTACTATTTTTAAACAAACAATGATGTCATGTTTGATCCCAGAGGCATGGACTTTTTTGTGTGAATGTGGAAAAAGGCCCGAGTGAGGTGTGTCGTTTTGCTTGCAGAACTGTAATACAGATACTTCAACACTGAAAACACAGGTGATCAATTATGCGGTAATTTGTTCTTTACTGTGATTTGTCTCCCTTTACGTTCTTTTATGTATACCTTTTCATTCTGCATGAATTTCTGTATCACTAGATTCTGATTGGTCAGTGGCATTTTGTGATTAAATATTTGTGAAATAAGGCTAAATGTATAGTTGACCATTATCTCAAGAAAATTTATATATATATATATATATATATATATATATATATATATATATATATATATATATATATATATCTATACAGTTATACAGTATAGGGTGGAAGGCCAGGACTGCCAACCTCAGTAGTACACACACACACACACACACACATGCTGGAGAGCTAGTGACATAATTGCACATGAAAGGTTTTTAAAAACATCTGGTGCAGCAAGTGCAGTTTAATGAGTGTTGGCTGTGGATCTGAAGCATTAATTAGTGGGCTGATATCCACACACACAGCATAGCTCTACTTTACTATTTTTAAACAAACAATGATGTCATGTTTGATCCCAGAGGCATGGACTTTTTTGTGTGAATGTGGAAAAAGGCCCGAGTGAGGTGTGTCGTTTTGCTTGCAGAACTGTAATACAGATACTTCAACACTGAAAACACAGGTGATCGATTATGCGGTAATTTGTTCTTTACTGTGATTTGTCTCCCTTATATATATATGTATATAAATATATATATAAATGTATATATATATATAAATGTAAATTATTTTGCAATATTTAGAATTATATTATAATTATATATATAGTTATTATTACACTTTATATAGAATTACAATAATATAAGTACAGGTCCCCTATTTCATGCAATTTTTGAGTTAATTTGTATTTTAACTGGTCATATTAAATATTAACTTGATTTCTATATCTGTGTTTATGGATTTTTAACTACTTCCATGTATGAAATGTGCTTAATCAATAAACCTACCTTGCTTCGCACAAAGTAGAACTATGTCATTGCATATATGCCTTTTTTTTTACTTATTGCACTATGATATTTTAATCCTCTGGTTCAGAAAGGATTCAGGAAAATTCATACAGCATGTTGTCATTTTGACCTGTCTCATGGACTCCACCTAGTGATCATTGATGGAAAGACATTTGAACAATAATCTGCAGGGATATATTTTCTTCAGGGAACAGTATAGTTTACTTAATAGGAAAAGTAACTTAATTAATTAATACATTTTTTTTCCAGGATTTGATTTGATGGAGTACTTCAATGTCAGAGATTTTCTTGGAGAAAAATTTGAGCCAGGTCAGACCCCCTATGTCCGCCTCGGTACCATGCCCATCGTCCAACAGACAGAGTAAGAGATTTCAATAATATATGCAAAAATCACATTATGTGCTTTTACTTCATTTACATGATGTGTTTTCCGACAATATACAAGGTATATATATTTTTAACAAGATATTTCTTTTTCTTGTGTTGTAGAGATGTGTTACCTCAGGGTCTGCCTGATGAATATGCCTTTGTGACCACATTTAAGTTCAGGAAGACCTCTCGTAAAGAAGACTGGTACCTGTGGCAGGTCTATGACAAATACGGCATCCCGCAGGTGTGCACTAATGAGTTCTGAATGAGGCTGAAACAACAGGGCTGCATTCAGAACTGAAATTTAAGTTTCTCTTCAAAAGTACTGTTTTTCAAATCAATTTAACAGTTTGAAATTCTTTATAACATCAAATATCAGTAAATGCAATGTAAGTTGATCAGGCTGTAATGAGAATGTCCTCCAGGTCTCCATCCGTCTGGACGGGGAGAACAAAGCGGTGGAGTACAACGCTGTGGGCCTGACAAAGGACGCGGTCCGGGCTGTCTTTAAGAACCCAGAGGTGGAAGATCTGTTTGACCGTAACTGGCATAAGATCGGCATGAGGGTGGACTCCAAGTCAGTGTCCCTGTTCCTGGACTGCAAGCACATTGAGACGCTACCCATAGAGGAAAGAGAAGACATCGACATCCAGGGAAAGACTGTCATCGGCAAGAGAATCTATGACAGCGTTCCCATTGATGTAAGCAAACAGTTGGGGTTTATTTACAGTATATGTATTTTATACAAGATTAAGTCTCGCTTGCACAAAAGTGCTGTGATGGTGCCATGATGGTATCTAATTGTAATACCATGGTATACCAAGGTACTGATTGATTATAGTTTTCATATATAATAATATTTGCATGTTACATCAGAGAATACCATCATGGTAGTCTCTAAAATACATGGTTAAATAATTGATAACAGTAAGATGTTTTTTAAAGATTTTTTTTTAAAATTCAGCAAGGATGCATTAAATTGATCAAAAGTGACAGTAAAGACTTTTTAAAATGTCTAAAAAATGTTAACTTCTATTTCAAATGAATTCTATTCTTTTGAACTTTCTTTTCTTCAAAACTCCTGAAAAAATTTATCATGGTTTCCACAAAAATGTTAAGCAGCACAACTGGTTTCAGTATTGATGATAGGAACCTGTAGGATGGGAGAGATTTAAATAAAATCACATTAATTATATTAAATTTGATTTTTTTTTCAAAATATTACTGTATTTTTAATCAAATAAATGCTTGTTGAGCATAAAAACATTTTTAAAAAACAATAAAAAATCTTACTGACCCAAAACTTTTGAATGGTGATGTTCATGAAGTTTTAAGTCAACCAAAATCATGACTAATTCAACCAGTTCCTGTGTTTTCTCTATAGTTTGACCTCCAGAGGATGTTGATCTACTGTGATGGTAAACAGTCTGAGCAAGAGACGTGTTGCGATATTCCTGGTGGCCCAGTAAGTACATCTGACTCGCATACAAATATTTATTCTCATTATGTCATCACCTGGACAAACATGCAGTTTCAAACAGGACAAGTTCTCCAAAGGGCTCAAAGGTCTTTTTCTTTAGTCCTTGATGAAGATGGGGAATATTCGTTGTCCAGCATCCAGAATGTCTTGCTCATAATACTGGACATCTGATGCGTCCTCTTCCTTTCCTCTCTCTTTCTTTCATAACACGCTCAGTCTCTTTCCGTTTCCTTGTTCACTTTCTCTTCTCACTCAGTGTGAACAATCTCTGGTGACTGAAGCCCCTCCACTCCCGCTGCCCACCCCAAAACCAACAAGTGCTGAGCAGAAGAAACCAGCCGTCGTCAACTGCTCCTGTCCTGCAGGGGAAAGGGTAAGACCTTCCAGGTCAAAGGTCACACTCTCTAAAGCCGGTGAACCCCCATGTTTAACATGCAAAAAATTTAATATCAGCCTTATGATAAAGGAATCAAAGTTATTTACAGTATATGAGCAAGAAAAGGCTAAATAGTTCATTTCTGAAGTCATGTGCTGAAGAAATTTTGTATCATGGTTTCCACAAAAATGTTAAGCAGCACAACTGGTTTCAGTATTGATGATAGGAACCTGTAGGATGGGAGAGATTTAAATAAAATCACATTAATTATATTAAATTTGATTTTTTTTTTCAAAATATTACTGTATTTTTAATCAAATAAATGCTTGTTGAGCATAAAAACATTTTTAAAAAACAATAAAAAATCTTACTGACCCAAAACTTTTGAATGGTGATGTTCATGAAGTTTTAAGTCAACCAAAATCATGACTAATTCATCCAGTTCCTGTGTTTTCTCTATAGTTTGACCTCCAGAGGATGTTGATCTACTGTGATGGTAAACAGTCTGAGCAAGAGACGTGTTGCGATATTCCTGGTGGCCCAGTAAGTACATTTGACTCGCATACAAATATTTATTCTCATTATGTCATCACCTGGACAAACATGCAGTTTCAAACAGGACAAGTTCTCCAAAGGGCTCAAAGGTCTTTTTCTTTAGTCCTTGATGAAGATGGGGAATATTCGTTGTCCAGCATCCAGAATGTCTTGCTCATAATACTGGACATCTGATGCGTCCTCTTCCTTTCCTCTCTCTTTCTTTCATAACACGCTCAGTCTCTTTCCGTTTCCTTGTTCACTTTCTCTTCTCACTCAGTGTGAACAATCTCTGGTGACTGAAGCCCCTCCACTCCCGCTGCCCACCCCAAAACCAACAAGTGCTGAGCAGAAGAAACCAGCCGTCGTCAACTGCTCCTGTCCTGCAGGGGAAAGGGTAAGACCTTCCAGGTCAAAGGTCACACTCTCTAAAGCCGGTGAACCCCCATGTTTAACATGCAAAAAATTTAATATCAGCCTTATGATAAAGGAATCAAAGTTATTTACAGTATATGAGCAAGAAAAGGCTAAATAGTTCATTTCTGAAGTCATGTGCTGAAGAAATTTTGGTCATGTTAATATTAAAGAAATGTTTTAGGTTCTATTAACACCGTCTGTGACCATAATTTCAGCTCAGCTTCACCTTAGTTTGTAAAAACAATTAAAAATGTATAGTAATGCACTTACAATGGAAGTCTATGGGACAAGACTTTGCACTGGAATAAACTCTAAATAAATACACTGCTGTTGTCACAAGACTTCAACATTAAACACGTTAACATGAGACTAGTGTGATAAAATCATATTAAAATAATTAATAAAAAGTACAGTTATTATATAAAATTAGGCAAAACAAAATTATAATGATGCAAAAAAGGAGTAACAAAATAATAAAATTAGAATCTATTACTTCAACAGTTTAAGAAACATATTTGGTATTCATTTAAGCATTAATTTCATATAAATTATGTGAATATATAATTAAAATAAAATTGGCTGCACATTTTGTTTTAAACCCCATGCATGTCATATACACATTCACTATATTGGCAAAATTATTTTCTGTGTTCATGAACTATGTATCAGATACTTTTGATATATATTTTTTATTATTATTATTTAACCTGGAACTTTTATTTAAAGATATAAGGCTGGATATCAATTTTTTAATCTGAACTCTCTTTTGTAATGCATTCAGTTCTGTTTTGTAATGCATTCATTATTTACACACTTTTATTTCTGACCTCTATCTTTCAAAATCCATATACACATTCACTATATTGGCAAAATTATTTTCTGTGTTCATGAACTATGTATCAGATACTTTTGATATATTTTTTATTATTATTATTTAACCTGGAACTTTTATTTAAAGATATAAGGCTGGATATCAATTTTTTAATCTGAACTCTCTTTTGTAATGCATTCAGTTCTGTTTTGTAATGCATTCATTATTTACACACTTTTATTTCTGACCTCTATCTTTCAAAATGTCGGTCTCTTTTGCTATCACTCTCAATTTTTCCCATCCTACAGGGTGAGACAGGGCTACCGGGTGCCACGGGGCCCAGGGGTGAAAAGGTCAAATAATGTTTCAGTATCACAGCATCACACAATGACTTTATTATGCTTTTGCACATCACCTCTGGATGCATTTCCAGTGGGTTCCTCATAGGCTCTTTGCATAAACTGTGCATCTGCAGGGGGATCCTGGTCTTAAAGGGGCAGAAGGACCACCAGGATCCAAAGGGCAGAAAGGAGAACGTGTACGGCATCCATATTATAACTTACAACGTTTCATATAGCTTTGTTGACTGTTTATATGAACGTAAAACAGCATTGATGTATATTAGAAATGCTTCTTGCAGCATAGTTGTTAGAGAAAAACATGATTTATTTTCATACGATTTTGATCTACTTCCATCTCTGCTGATTCTGTCTCTCTGGGCCTGGAGAATAATTGATCGGTGTTGATTGATTATTTGCAGGGTCAGGCAATCTCTATGAAAGGTGATAGAGGAGAGAAGGTAAGGTCATGAATTTAACAGCCAAACTCCTCAAGATAGACAAAATAATGAATGTGTAGTCTATATGTGTGTTTGTTTGTGCACGTGTGTATTCTGTCATTTTGTGCGAGCCAGAACCCAGTTCATCAAAAACTTCATTCTTCCTTTGAGTCCAAAGTCTAGGATTACAAAAGAACATAGCAGAAAAGAAAAACTGTGGAAACTGCCATTCTTTTGAGGATGAAAACAATAAAAATACCTTATTTTGAAATGCAGAATTATGGGTCTTCCAACCTCACAGGATATGCAAAACAAGAAGCTGCGCACCGAACACCCACTCATAGCGCTTAAAACAGACATCCTCCACTGCTCAGCAGAGAGACGTCCAGTCTCCAGGGCATAATTACCTCAGAATAATATCATAATTAACCTCTATCAGGTCAGAGATTTGTACAGGAGATTAGATGTCTGTAGTATTGTCAATAGAACGACGACTGCCATTATTTAAACATTTACCTGTGCTTATTGTAATATCAGTAAATGTCCAGATTTCACTTGTATGATGAATATTTTGATTCACAATCTGTTAAGACTTCTGGAAAGGAGTTGTATTTTGAGATTTCCATTGCTGATTGGTCACTGTTCGGCCAAATTTAGATGCCAGTTGACGCCCACAGCAAGAAAAATGTTGCATTCTGGATTGGTCAGTGGAATTTCCTGCAGGCGACCTACAAAAAGCAAATGCTGTGCTAGAGCAGGTTAACAATTGCAAAACAAACACACAAAATTAATATTGCTTATACTTAAAGGGATAGTACACCCAAAAATGAAAATGTTGTCATCATTTACTCACCCTCAAGTTGTTCTAAACCTGTATAAGTTTTTTTTCTCTTCTATTGAATATATTTGGAAGAATGCTGGTAAACAAACAGCTGATGGTAGCCATTGACTTCCATAGTATGGAAAAAAAATACTATGGAAGTCAACATTTGCCATCAACTGTTTGGTTACCAGCATTCTTCCAAATATCTTCTTTTGTGTTTAACAGAAGAAAGAAACTCATACAGGTTTGGAACAACATGAAAAGTAAATGACAATATTTAAATGTTTGGGTGAACTGTCCCTTTAAGATTTAGAACAAACCCATCAAAAAAAAATGAAATTGTCATCATTGACTCACCCTCATGTCATTCCAAACCCGCAAGTCTTTGGATAATCTTCAAAAATATTGAGCCCAAGTTAAATCTGTTCATCATATAAAATGATCCTATCTCCTCACAATGTCACAGTGCACTACTGTGAGGAGACGAAGGAGTGCGGAGACGAGGGAGATCCAGAACAGAAATACTATAATGAAACCAAAATAACAGGGAACACACACGTAGCACATGGGGTAGACATTTGAAACCGAACGCAGGACTCAGGAAAACACAGGGCTTAAATACAGGAACTAAATGGGGAACACCTGGAACTAAACGAGGAGATTAATAGGACACAGAAAAAAAAATCCCCCCCCCAAAATAAAATCTTTAGGGAAAATATCTACCCCTGAGGCCCTCTGTGGGCCTGACTCGGAAATTGTGGCCCTCCCTGGACTGGACGTGGGAACTGGAGCCTCCCTGGGCTGGACGTGGGTACTGGAGCCCCACTAGGGCTGAACGTGGGAACTGGAGCCCTTTCTGGAGCAGACTCAGGGGCTGGAGCCGACACTGGAGCGGGCTCAGGGGAGAGGATAGGTGCCGAGAACTCAGGAGAAAGTGCCATATCCAGGAGTTCAGGGACATGAGCTAGCTGCTGGGCGGCCGGCGGGCTTGAGAGAGCAGCGGCCAGCGGCCTCGACTTCCGAGTGGCCGGCGGGCTTGACTTCGGGGCAGCCAGC